CCATTTTACTAATGTAGTATACATTAAAAATATACACAGAAATTTAAACATAAGCCAAAAATAAATAAATAAACTTATTTCAAATATCCTACCAAAATTTAATCTGTGGTCTCAGCAGGAATATTTTTAAAACTATCTGTCTAGTTTCCAAGCAACCTTTAGCTAGGACTACAAAATAATCCATAAGTCTGCACCACTGGTTGGATTTCAGGTCCAGTATATACACTGCCCTGAAAACGAGCAATCACTTGAGGGACCACTGCTAACCATCCACATTGTGGAGCAACTTTTTCCCTGAAGTCACCTTATCTCCCATATAGGATGCTGACCACATAATACACAGACTGGATAAAAGTCTGAGTGTTCGTCTGAATACTAAACACTAGGAAACTAGTAAGGCTTCATTTCCATGTTTTAAAGGTAAGCTGAATATATATTTTAATATTTTTTTTCAACCACATGAGTGGCTGCATATATTCCCTGAAGAGGGGAACACTATCTTGGAGACCACTATTTCTGTTTTATGAGTTGATAACCTAAAACACAAAACTATCCATTTAAGGTGAGTCTTACTTATAATATACGGTGATAGATACAAAATAAAGTGTTCTATCAAGAAATCCCAGTAGGTCCTCAATTAAATGAGGTAGCTATGATTCTCAATGACTATTCAGAATCACCCCATTTAACTTTGCTACTCTGTATGAATTCCATTAAAAATAACCTTTTAAGGAGAAGTTTAACAATTAAGTTCCAATGAAGCTTTTTCAAGTACAGGTTAATTCAGATGTGCATTTACTGAGGTGTAGTGTTAAACCCATGAGGTAATGTCTATGAGAAATACTCTCAGTCTCTCATGGATTTAAAGTGTTCATATAAAATAAAATACCCTAGAACTGAGCTTGTGAGATGCAAGAAAATTCTGATGAAGATCCAGCTACAAATACTCTGGGGCTATTGGAAAGCTAAAGCGTGTATTAACGTAATGGATCTTAGAAAATGGGTTCATGAAAAATGGGTATAAAAGGATAAAGGATGTTGTTTTAGACAGTGAGAATATTTAAAACAATGCTCTGATGACTTCTCCTTCATTTTAGATTGCAAAAAGGATTTATTTCTTATGTACATTTGGAAATCACTATTCTACATAGTTATAGAATTAATTTCTTTGTAAATACTTTCTTAAAACCTTAGGGTGCAATCTGTGTAACTCTGGAAAAGACAGCAAGGGCTTCTTCTAACCCAGGGATAAATATGAAACAGTTTGCTTTCTCTATCTTTTTCTCTATTTTGTACTTACCTGGTAACTTTTGAAGCCTAATCCTTAGGAGAATCTATGGTTCGTGTTACAGACCCCTCACCCTCATGCTGTTTGCAGGAACAATTGATGGTAAGATTGTCTTCAGATTACTACTTAAGAATTTTTGAGATGTATCTGAACTATTCAGCTTTCTTTGTACAAAGGAAGCTAGCTAGCATCAAGAGATATAACTTCTTAAGACACAAGTCTGTTAAAAACTTTTATCCTAAGTCTCTTTGTGTGTCATTGTGTGAAATCAGTAAGTGTATTTGGGGATACATACAATGAAGACTCTCTCTCATCCTCAAAAGCTTCTTGATAATAACATTTTCTTCTTTCCAACTTGTGTTGTGAGGATTAGACATTTAAAATGTTGGATGTATTCCATTCACATATTGTATATCCCTTGGACATCAAGTGGATTTTGAATTCTCTTGTAGTGTGAGAATCATATTTTTTGTGAAAGTGATATTCAGCTTTTGTCCTGTTAGTATTAAAAAAAAGTAGCAAAATCTATTAATGGTTTCAATGCCCTTCCAACAGAAAAATGTAAGGCAGTACAGTTTGCCCCCAAAATCAATTCAAATTATTATTATGAAAGTATTGAGTGCACTGCTGTGCAGTAAGAGCATGTGCTTGACTTTCCAAAAATTAAGGTTTAATGAATAGGCTTATACTGACTATTGATCAGTAGTCAAACTTTAGAGATATCTATGAATCTTCGTATTCCAGAAATTGCTGAAATATGGAGGAACTTACAGTTAAAAGTCTTACAGGGGATTCTTGTCTATAGCTAATGTTTCTCACTGCTTTGGAAGTAGTTTGTAGTCTTTGTAGAGACTTTTCAATATAAGTGGTTAAAAAGGTTTCCAAGCCCAGCTGACCATCAAAATCATGGTTGGGAACAAGATTTCCAGCTCTGGCCTCAGAAATTCTTATTCACTGATGGGGGTGCAAAGAGTGAGAGTGGATAGAAATCAGTATTTTAACAACCTCTCCATGTGATTCTGGTGATAAACTAAATTTTAATTTAACTATGAACAGGATCAGATTTCTTACTATAGCACTTAGAGGAAGAACAACAATCTTATAAAGGCAGAAATTTGGGAAATCACAGCATCAATACACCTAACACAGCAGATTTTCTTGGGTCTGCCTGCTGCAATATTCCTGGCAGAAACAATGTGACTTTGTTCCCTGGTGACAAAACCTGACAAACTTAATAAGAGGAGTAGTGAGAAGGCGGCCGTCACTACTTTGGGGAGGACTGTGAGAAGCAGCCTGTTTGGTTCTGATGAACCATGGGCAAGAACACAGAGGCCCAGGGCTGGGGATTTAGCTCAGCAGCAAAGCGCCTGCCTGGCAAGCTCAAGGTCGTGAGTTTGGTTCCCGGTACCGGAGAAAAAACCAAAAAAAAAAAAAAAAAAAAAAAAGAACACAGAGGCCCATAGGAATATCAGTCAACAGGGTGTCACATTCCTTGCCCCCACCCATTAAACTTTGATGGGGAGGAGAGTTACTTGGGCTTAAGCAAATAGTTTTGCAAAGCAGCTAAGTGCATCTGACCATCTTCCTTAGGCTTAAAAGGAAAACACTGCAGAATGCATAGGAGAAAAGTAACTTCTGCCTAGTGCCACAGCTTAGTAAAACACAAAGGAAATAAGTCACAGAGAAGGGCAGTTAGATTTATAAAAGGAAGTAGAAGTCAAGTGTTGAAATTCACAGCGGTAAAAACTACTTTATATGAAATCCGAAGTGAGGTGCTAGCTCACCACAGGCAGAATTTATAAACGGAAAACACATGACAAACCTATGGCAGGCAGGTTATTATGTTTTCTTTTTAAGACAGAAGATTGAACATAGAGTTGATTTTTCTAAACTAAAGCTTCAGGATGCAAGTTTAAATACAGCGTTGGCACTTTGTGATAAACACACGGATTTTGGGTTGCAGTTTGACCTTTGGTCTCTAAAAGATTTGCTATCTCTGATATGGGGATCATTTACTCATATAAGGACTATTAAAAGGTAGTGAAAGTGAATTTGCGGGTATGGATGAGCAGGGAACGTGTGTGTGTGTGTGTGTGTGTGTGTGTGTGTGTGTGTGTGTGTGTGTTTAGGGTGGTTTCTCTCTCCACATCAAGTTCAGCTTGAGGTGGTATTAGCAGGACTGCACAGAGAACTTCAGACGCATTCCCTGAGCTTGAGTAACAGGCCTATGCTGGCCTCGTGTCTGACCGCAGGTTACAGGCAGCAGTGTGAGAGCTTGTTGGAACGGAGGGTGTCTGAGTATTTTCCATGTAGAACCACGTGGAAGGGGCACCTCGCCCACTGTGGGGAGCAAGATACATTTTAACAGTGAAAGTCCAAATTGAGGGGACACTGAAATACAAGGGCTCAGAAATGGTAGGTGTCTACCTGTCCAGGGGACTTTCCAGTGAAGGTAATTTATGAGGAGCCCACGCAATACCCTGCAAGGAAGGGTGAGTGCTAAATACTCTCCTCAGGAAGCCCCCTTGCCAGAATAATGGCACCTCCCGCTGTCCGTACCCTCTCCCTCAATCCTCTCTCTCAGATCTGAATGTCTAACTCTTACCAAACTGGTGGAGGAAAAGGAGTAGAACCAGCATGAGGAAGGCACTCTTCACTGCAAGCAGCCGCTTTAGGTCCATGCAAGTGGGAGGGGAGGAGACGCTAGGTAAAACCATGCTCTGAGTTTCCATTATTACATGAACTAGCTTAATTTATCTAACTGCAGTGGTTTTTGAGTTTCAGTGACTGAAAGATTGTTTCTGTTGAAGCACTTTTCCACTTACCTATGTAGAGGAGAAAAATATTTTCTTCGTCCAAAAAATGTTTAAAGGAAGGGAAATAGAAATAAAAGCTGTGCTTTGATCACATTGGGTTTATTCAGTATAGCAGTTTCAGGTTGGCTGGTTAGTAAAAGGAGCCGGAGTTGTCTGTGCCCTGGGGAAAGGCGTGGGGTGTAGAGGGCTGGTGTTGGGGGTGACAAAGTCAGGAGGTAGGAGAATTCTAGTACTGTAGGATCAGGGGCAAAGGGTGAGTTCCAATCTTCAGTTTGGGGAGCCAGCAAGACACCCCCCTACCCCAAAAGAAAAATAAATGAACCGAAATGTGCTGTGCAGCACACGAAGACCAACTTAGTTACCTGCAGGGATGGCCTGTGGAGTCAGGTCCTCTTCCCGTCTCCGCTGCCTTGTGTGTCATATGCCTGCCTGTTCTGGTGCCATCCCGAAGAGCAGGAGCGAGGGAATGGAATATTCACGACTTACTGGAGTCACAGAAGCAGAGACTGAGTTACTTTAAGGGATGGCTAATTACCAGGTCAAATTAAGGTGATGGCATTGGACTGAATTTTAGTTTTGCATGGCTAAGTCATTGCTGATAGTGGTGGTGGTTTGGAAAAATCAAAACAAGGTAGATGGGGGAAAGTGGAACATTTTATGAGAGAATTATTAGCTTTTCTTTGTTTCTGTTCTATTTGTAGTGTTTCATTTGAAGAGGGAGATAAATCAGGCAACTGCTGTGCTACAAGCTCAGTGTTTGTTTTTTTTTACTGCTTTTATGTCACTGTGTTGGATCACAGGAGAGAGAATCTGGTGTAGGAAGGAAAGAAGGCCACCCTGGATGGGGGTGGAGGAGACACCTTGTACCTTCATACTAAACAGTTTATACGAAGGTGTCAGAAATAGCTAGTGTCACTCTGAATCAGCTCTGCTTTGACTGGGTAAAGAGCCAAGTGAGTTTAACTTTTGCCAACACACATTTCCTCCCCTGAGAAGTGGGGTAGATTATTGAGGGGAAATAATTTTCCTTCATTTCAGTTCCAGATTAGAGGTAAAAGTGTGGGGATATGCAAAACTGAGTATGTGGTACTACTAAGTTATTGTTATTTAACTCTTCCATTTTGACTCTTGTTTTATTTTGAGAAAAAAGAGATTGCACAATCTTACTACAAACCACAAGTACACAAACGAAACAAAAGAACAATCATGAGACTACTGCACTTCTTGGATTTCTTAAAAGAACCATGGGGAGTCATAATTCCGGATGACCTTAGGAGTGCAGGCTCCCTTGTAGATGCTATAGGATGGCAGCATGTCTATACAAAGTCATGAGTATAGATTCTTGTGAGAAATCTACCACTTTGGCTGATCAGACTGCATTACAGCAGACCAAGCATGACTTTCTTCCCCCTTAACCTGTTTAGTGTTTATTATAGAATCTAGTTTCAAGGTGGGGAAGGTATTAGAGGTATATTGGTTTGAATTAACAAATGGTTGATAACATGCGACTTTTTTTTAGAATACTTTGATGGAAATTTTGTGTTTGTTTTTATACTGAGGGTTAGTATTATTTTAAAAAAGAAAAGAAAAAGAAAATTTACTTCATTAGTTTATTGGGAAACCAGGATATTGCATCAGTATGTATCTAAAAAGTCAGTAAATATCTTCATTAGTTCGTGAGATGATGTAAAGACTGTTGCTTTACTGGTTGCTCTAGCCAAATACTGGACATAATATTATTTGTCATGATGAAAATGCACTGATCAGAAAATATGTGGAAATTATTATGCATTAAGATGACTGATGTGGCCCAGGTATTGGTCATTTAAGATTTGTTTTAAAGAAATTTATTCAAAAGGTTACAGTCTCTAGCAGGGATGGCAAATCTTTTGGAGCTTTCAGTGATATGAATAGCCTTTCACGGCACACATGCCATAGCTTTGCCACCACTGGTCTATGGAACGGTGATGGAAGAGGCAATCACAAAGCAAAGCACCATATTTCTTAGGCCATACCTGGTGGTCATTTTCTTACTCAGTGGTCACACTCTGCATATATTAGTGACTTTTCCTTGTATATTTATGTGGACAGAATACCCTTAATGAACTTTAAAAAAAAAACCCCAAACCTCAAAATACTTTCCTTCAGCAATCAGTAATTTACATGGTACATTATAGGTCTACATTAATATTCAGCATACCAAATCCATTATGCTCTTAAGCACGAAGACAGCACGATATCACGTGAGAATGTACCTGTGATTTCAAATTTTAGTGAAAGAGCCAAGGTGGGTTTTCCTGTGTCGGGGCTCAGAACAGCATCCCAACGTTTGTCCTGTGAGGGGTGTTGGGAAAACAAAGTTTTTCTCTGACCTTCACTTGCCCTTTTTGTCTCTTGATTCTTTTTCCCCAAATCAGGCCATAGAAACTAGAATTTCTCTTCCTCAAGGGTATGAGGGCAATCGTAGCTAAGGCTCCTCTTCAAAGCCAGCCATAAAACCTAGAAATATTACTGTCATTTCTCCCCTCCTCTCTGTGACCTTTCTGTCTAATAGATCATAGCCCCTCCTTCCAGAAAGGACCCCATCCTACACCTGGAAGGAATGCGAGGGGAAGAGGCCAGGAAGCCCGAGCAGACATTCTTGCTGTGTCTCCCCATTAATCTTTTCCCCTTGGGTCACACTCTTTTGTTTACTCACATTGCTACAGAACAGTGCCTACTTCATGGAAACTAAGCATAAAAAGAGTTTTCCCTGGGTCTCTGGACCTTCATTTCTGTGTCATATGAAACTATGATTAAATAAATCTGCTGTTCTTCTCTCTGGTTTATCTGTCTTTTGCTATAAGGGTACAAGCTGTGATTCCATTGTGATGGGGGAGAAATGTATCACTGTTTTTGCCCCTACAGCCGCAAACAGTGAGTTTTTTGGTTATGGATCCTGTGCAATACACTCTTTTATGTAACAGCAGCTTATTCAGCCTAATTTTTCCACTTGCTTACTTAGGTATCCTTAGGAAACCCGTGAAGAGAATTTCTGACCAAAAAGAAAAAACAAAACTGCGATCCAGCTAACACAGCAACATGCACAATGCAGTCAGACTGGAAACGGCAGCGAGGGGCTCCGAACGCGTGCGCAGACTCTGTGCAGCCCCTGGAGAGTTTGAACTGAGCAGAAGCAGTACCATCTAGGAGGTGAGAGCCCTACTTACAGTGTGAGAGATGTTGTGCTTTTATATTTGAAATCTTGTTTTACAGGTTTGAGCTGCCTAGCGAGGCTGGGATGCCCTGAGTTCTACATGGCTAAAAGCATAGGCTGCATATAAAGAGCTCTTTAAGTTTAGGAAGGGGCTCTTGTCAAAGTTTCATCTACACAAAGGGCAGATGGGCATCAGTCTTTCTGGACATTAATAACATATGGTGGCAATAAATTTGTTATAATTATATTTGATTTAAGCATACAGATACGTTAATGTTTAAAAAGAACATGCTTGGGATTTTAATAAAGAACACCTGACATTATTTTGTAAAGACACTAAGGAGAAGCTTGTAAGTTCTCATGATAACTTATAGCGTGTGAGAAGCGTCCCAAGCGTGTTAGGACGGGCACACGTGGTGGCCTTGACATTTGCACTGTGGTGTGGTCCAAGAGGTGGGTCGAGCCCACGAGGTGTCTCGGTGGATTTCAGCCACAGTGCTGGGAAATGGGACCCTCAGGGAGAACGTGTGCTCCACGGCGAGCAGATGAGGGCGCACTAGAGCACAGCCAGTGAACCCAAGGAAAGTGTATCCATCTAACCATAATTTCTTTTACTCACTTAAAGTATGGCTTCTTTGGAAGTTTTTTTTTCTACCTCTCGTTGGCTCAAGACAATCTTTTAAGAACATAGAAAATGAAGTGTCTTCTCCTATCTTCCTCTTAGCCTGGGTTGTACTTCATTTCTGCCCACCCCTCTAGTGGCCATGCTTTGCATTTCTTCTGTATCCCCTCTGCGGCAGACTGCATTTCCCACGATGGCCGCACCTCCCATCTTGCCTTCTCTTTTACGGTGTAGCGTTGTCCTTCTCTGACTGATATAGTATCTGTTTAGATCCTCTCAGATCTCAGCTGCCCAGTGTTTTAAACTTGCACAGGAATTAAGTCACTCAAGCCTCACAAGAGCTATTGGAGGAAATGCCATCACCACCTTCATTTCACACATGAGGAGACAACCAAGATGATAAGCCAAGAAGTTACCATGAGTAGCACCCATGAGTCTGTGCTTAGGTAGAAATTACAGTAGGCAAAGGAAGAAATAGAAACTTTAATTCACCCCACAGGAAGCCCTTAAAAATGTTGATTGTTAGTAGTATTTCAAGTATTTTATTTCTCCTCTTTTATTTATATTTTCCTTATATATATTTAAATTTATAAGTATTTTCTTATCATGGTTTCAAAAATTTGTTATTCTATCATTTATCTTATTTGTTATTCTATCATTTATCTTATAAATGGGGACTGGGGATATAGCTCAGCAGCACAAGCACCTGCTTGGCAAGTGCAGGTCCCTGAGTTCAATTCCTAGTAACAAAAAAAAAAAAAAAAAAAAAAGAAGAAGAAGAAGAAGAAGAAGAAAAGAAATCTATCTTATAGTATTACTACTTTTAGTTTTCATGTCCTTAAATCTGTTTTTAAACCTTACTCCTCCCACACATTTTTCATGTTCTAATTTCCATCTTAAAACTCATATCAAAGAAATCATTATATCTTTTGTATTCTTTTTTAAATTTTAAAATTTCTGTTTGCCTCATCTTCTCAACTTATCTTGTATTTTATCATTTTTAATTCAATTCTTAATGTATTCTAGATTTTTCTTACTTTAAAATTTCTTTTACTCCTGATATTTTATTCTTAAAATGTTTTTACTTTATTAATTTGTTTCTAGTCTTCTTGAGAGAATTCTTGATAATCTCCCTAGTTTCTCTCTCTTGCTAGTAGTATTATAGGATGTATAAAATTGGTCCTGGAAGACTGTAAGAGTCTGTGTTGAGCTAGATGAACTAAGCTTTTATGATCTGGGACAAGAATCTGCATTTGAAGTAGTAAATTTGATGAACTGTAAGTGACTTTTCATTGAGATCCGTTAAATCACCTATGCTATGGAATTTGGCCAGTTGAAGTCATTAAAGAAAGGACAGTTGTGCAGTAGCTTTGCTTGGCTTTTTGTCTCATGCATCTGGAAATGGAGAACATTCCCTTATCCATATTCACTGTGTTAGTTTTTTTAAAATTGTTCCTGCTGGCAGGTTAAAGATTTGGCTGAGATTAGGATTAGGATTGTGATTAGTTCCTTGGTTCATAGAACAGGGATTTTTCTTTCTTTTTTTTTTTTTTTTTTTTTTGGTACCAGGAATTGAACTCAGGACCTTGCACTTGTCAGGCAGGCACTTGTGCCGCTAAACTGTATCCCCGGACCAGAACAGGGATTTTTCTTAACACTGAATCAGT